GAACCTAAACTTTCTGTAGAGCATGAAAACGACGGCCATCATAACTCGCCTTCGGACTGTGAAACTGCTGAAAGTGATGAGTCAGATGCAAGCATGGGTGGTCTGTCTGGGAAATTACGGAACCAGTAGTTAGAGGCCATTATAGAACACGCTCTGGTCGTTCTGTAAGACCACTGCAAAAGTATGGCTGGTAATCCAAGTAACGGTCAAGAGTGGTTGCCAGTCCAAACTACAATTAAGCATAAAAAAAAAGAGTGTAATGTGTGTCAACGTGGACTTAAATATATTAATCTTGACACTGTGGCAACACTGATGCACCGCCATTACGTTTAACAAGAAAGATAGAATACAAGATTGTGCATTCCCGCAGAATGACATTTGTGGCAACGGGTAAACAAAGAATATGGCGAAGAACAATGAGTTGACAGTTGTGAATTTGCAGTGAGAAAACGTGTTTTATTCACGACTCACCAATTTCTCAAGCCATCTTTGAATATAGCAAATTAAGCACAACGTTAACAAAAAATATACAACCACTCTTGAAATGTGTTCAAAAGAATAGGTCTTATTAATTAACTATTTAGAATTTTTGTGTTTGTATTGCAGGTGCCGAAAAAGTGATAATATCTTGTCGCAGCGCATGTTTTCCTTCAGAAAGTGGTCGATGCTTGCTTACCTCCGATTTTAATTTGTAATTTGTGGTATTTCAACGTTTTCAACTTAACATGTCGTGTTTAAAAGTGGTCCGTAAAGTGCTTCATGCATATTACGCTGGTGACTAAATTGTATGGCTTCTCCTGCCGGCAGAACTCTACCCACTTTCTGGCCAATGCGTCGTCGCGGGGAAACAAAAAAAAACTGCATTTGGGGGCTTTACCCCTACGGCTGCAGCAATTCAACACACGACACGACATTTTTATAAAGTTTTTATTACAAATAAAACGTTTTTTACTTCAGAACGCACGAATTACTTTGATTTTTCACTTGAAAGTACACAATACGTTTGCACTTGTTTCTAAAAAAAAACAAAAAGTTTGTTTACGTATTGCCATAAACGTCAAAGTCGGCAAAACCAAAGTAGCGGTTTCGGGAATGCGCCACCTTCAGTTCATTACACCAAGTACGTTTAAGATATTTTTGTTCACCGGCCATTAGATAGATAGCTGAAGTAAGAGGAACATTGTACGTTTGAGCTGATAGTTGGAAATAATTAAATAAAATACTTATTTTAAACAGTTTGAATTTAATTAAATAACACGCAAACGTGGAAAACAACAAATTTCTTGTAAACTATGAGTTTCCTCGCCGTCTGGTTTTCAGTTTTGTGATGTGTACGATCCCCTCTACCCTAGGCCGGCCCCTTCCCCCCCTCAAAAAGTCATTTTGTTCAAAGCGTGGTGCACTCTCGCGAGTTTTCCCCTAAGTCGGCAGCCCTGGCGCCGGCCACTGATGTACTGGCCGTCTCCACAGGATAAAATTTATTGCTGCCCAGCTGTCATTTTGGTCGCTAGATATAAGTTATATCAGTGGCAATATTTGTGTGGGCTTTTTATATCTTGATATAAGCATTTGTAAGATAGCTTTGAAAATGTATTTTTGCCGGATTTAAACGCTTAAAAAATTTAGAACATAGGCTATTTTACATCCAAGTATATAATTACAAATATTTTAACAGGAAACAGCTCAATTTTTCTTTTATATTAAAATAGTATTGTATATTTTTCGAGCTCAAGGCCACATGAAAATCGAAACAAAATTTTTGATTTTACATTTGTTTTGTTGGCAAATAATACAATACTGTGTAAGACGAACGGCCAATAAATAAAAAGATAAAATTTATATTAAAATAATAATGATGTTGCAGCCACGAAGTTTTCGTGCAAATGAAAATGTAGCTGTCAAACTACCAAATTGCCGGCAATAGATGGCAAGATATAAGCTCTGATATATATTGCTCTTGAAGAGCAATGAGCGGTCTCCATTGGCTATTTATATTGTAACATATGTATCAAGATATAAGTGGTATTCATCTAAACCGATAACTTTATCAAGCAGATAATCTTATAAGTTTACGCACTCTGTTACATGAACGACCCACACTCTCTTTTCGTCTACACATGCAACAATAGTCGTGTTCTCTTTGGTTATAGAGCTCAGTATCACTAACTTTATACTACTAGCACAAGGATAAAGAAATTATAGAAACTAACTCAACCAAGTATCGCGATATTTATTGACGGTGTAGCATGCAGTATTGATGGATCGTGATCCATATCGCAAAATTTCTAAAAATTTTGAAATATGGATCGCGGATCGCAATACCGTCACTAAATATTGAACGTGTAGCACTTTCAAAACGCGATCCATACATTTCGCAGTACATCTTTTACTCTCATAATACGAACATCAAAAGCGTATTCGCTCTGCCTTCGCTGTCGGTGCTTAAAACCTATCAAAACAAATTGAAAAATTTTAATTAACATGGGAAATTTTAATTGCATTATCTGCAAATTATTAATACAAAATAAGGAATACCTAAAGAATACCGACCCTTGAGCTAGAGAAAAAAGAAAACATGGACGTGGTGCACCCATTTCTGCTGAGTTTAATGGTAAACTTTTTTTTTGGGTGCAAATTGATAGGGGCAGCGCTAGGGGAGGCTAAACGTGGAATTTCCAACATTTTCAAAACCTTATATTTTGAAAACTATTGAACCGATTTTCAAAATACGCTGTTCTCTACGAAACAAGCTGTTCTCTGCAAAAGGTGTTCTGCCCCTTTTCTTTGGAAACACAGAAAGGAGAATTCTACGTTGTGAGGGTTATAATCCCTAAACGCGGCCGAAGGCCGCCTACACAGAAAGGTGTTCTCTGCAAAAGGTTTTCAGCCCCTTTTATTTGGACACATATTTTGAGAAAAAGTGAAAAAACGAAATTATGGCAATTTTTTATAAAAATGTATGTTTTTCGTAAAAAAAAAATACGTAATTAACTATATTAACAAATATGTTTATGGGAAAGACCATAAAAATACCTTTAATTTGGCGTATAATTTTATATAGTTAGGTTTAAGTACAACTGCCAGCAGTGCAATAAAACAACTGTATTAATGTTATATGTTCTCTGCAAAAGGTGTTCAGCCCCTTTTATTTGGCAACACAGAAAGAAGAATTCTACTTAGTGAGGGTTATAATCCCTAAGCGCGGCCGAAGGCCGTCTACGCAAAAAGGTGTTCTCTGCAAAAGGTGTTCAGCCCCTTTTATTTGGCAATACAGAAAGAAGAATTCTACGTTGTGAGGGTTATAATCCCTAAGCGCGGCCGAAGGCCGCCTACGAAAAAAGCTGTTCTCTGCAAAAGGTGTTCTGCCCCTTTTCTTTGGAAACACAGAAAGGAGAATTCTACGTTGTGAGGGTTATAATCCCTAAACGCGGCCGAAGGCCGCCTACGCAGAAAGGTGTTCTCTGCAAAAGGTTTTCAGCCCCTTTTATTTGGCAACACAGAAAGAAGAATTCTACGTAGTGAGGGTTATAATCCCTAAGCGCGGCCGAAGGCCGCCTACGCAGAAAGGAATTCTACGCAGAAATACTGTGGATAGCGTAGCTTGATTAATTATCCATTTAATTCTACAACTCAATCTTATAACAAATAAGGTTATTAAAAAAAATGGTTTGTACATATTTCTTTAGTATTTTTTTAATTTTAATTAAATTTTTGTAAAAAATTAAGAAAAGCCATGCTTCTAATAATTATTACTTGAGACGGAATCTCCAATCTGTTGCTTCTATTCCTGCCATAAAGGCAACACATTATCGCAACTTCTACACTTTTGTATCTTGTAAGTTATTTAACAGCCTTCCTCCTAATATACGCGCCATAAGAAACCTACGTGAATTCTTGAAGCAAGTGAAAGCATTTTTACTAAATTTTAATCACCATGAGGTCGAAATTTTGCTTAAACCAGTTATTTAATAAATTTCCGTTTAACCATGAGATATTTCGTTTTTGTTTAGCGACCCTTCCTGGTCATGTCGGTCTTTGCTTAAACTTTTGGCCCCTACTGGTCGATGTGTGAGCCCTTACGGTCAGCTCGGTCACTTTCACGTCCGGGTTTTACTCTCCAATAATCCTTTATGGTTAATTTCAATACCTCAGCAAGACAATAATTTTCATAAAAACAGCTATTTGTTATACTTTTATTATACTTTTCAATAATTTTGTAATTTATTCATGTATATCATTATTTTTTGTCGTGCATATGTACATACATTGCATTTTCCAAATCACACCCCACACATAATTGCAACTACAAATGTATGTATGAAATGGCATTTAAAACTAATATTTTACTTATTAATAAAGTGCCACCAACCTTTTTCTTAATATTATAAAATATCGAAAATTATCCACTGTACTTATGTATAAGCATACTCAGTATTAAGAAAAATGAATTTAAATAAATAAAAATAAATATGGAGCATGTAGCATTTGGGTGCGATCCATCAATCCATCAATATCGATCGCGATCCAAATATCGTAATAATTACTGACCGTGTGACAGGGCCCTATGAGTGAAAACTATCGATAATGCTTACAAAACCATCGATGTTTTCGATAGTCAAGGACCATTTATACTATCGATAGTGCAATCGATAGTTTTCCAACTCTAAAGGTACGACCGCACTAAGCGACGCGACACAGCAGCGGCACTACGCGACACGGCGCGATACTTTTTGGTATACCGCACTGAAACTGCAGCGGCGACACTTCGCTGGAATTTTTATTTTTTTGCGTCAAAACCTTCGAACAAGATGGATGCCAGTGACGCTGATGTAACGTTAATGCCTTTTATTTTCCTTGGCGAATTCTCCTCAGATGTTATGTTATGTTATGAAATGCATGTGAATATTCACTCACAATTCGAAATCAATTTCTTCAAGTTAAAAATATAGTACGAAATGTTATGTCGCTCCGCTGGGTATACCGCACTGTGCGGCACCGGAACTGCGCGACACCACGCGACGCGACACTTTTGCCTAGTTGGTCAACTTTGCCGCGCAGCGTCGCGTCGCGTAGCTCCGCTGCAGCGTAGTGCGGTATGCTCCATAAGAATCCATGCAAAGAATAATTTTCCGCGCTGTGTAGTGTCGTGTCGCGTCGCCTAGTGCGGTCGTACCTTAAATTGGGTGGATATTTCGAAATGGCGGGAGATGACGAAATAAAATTCTGTGCGGAATTATAAAATTTTGTTGTGTCATTACCATAATAAACATGAGTAAATTAAAGAGAATAACTTCGCCAATGAAAGAGCAAAATGATACAAAAAAAGGCAAAACGTAGTAATAGTGAATGTAAAATATTTGATGAAGATTTGAACACCAGTTTTGATAAGCTCTTTGATGCTGATGATGATTTTGAATCAATAATAAATGGTAGACACATATCCGTCGATGAGGATAATAAGTTCGACCTTAGCAAATGGCAACGTTGCACTGTGGTGGAAGCGGAACGTAAACGTCCCTCTTTCGATTTGGTGCTACAAGTATGCAAAGCGTCGAATGATCAGATCGGGCAACATGGTAAAGAAAACAATACAGTATTGACAAGGTGTCATCTACAACAGCAGTGGAGTCAAACCGAGGTGAAGGCTGGCGATATTGTGTTCTTACAGGCGTTTTGGGATGATGAACTGCGATGCTACAAAGTAAATAATGAGCTTGGATTCTGTGTCACTAACCCAGATACTCTAATATCTAGCACAAGTGTGGTTGGCTCACTTTTCTGTCGAAGAAAGGTGGTACTGCAAGATCGGTTCAAGGGGATCGATGCCAATAGTAAAGTGGTAGGTACATGCATATCGTCGTTTAAAGTACAAAACCGCGTATCAACAAAATGGAAAACCGCGTATGTGAGGTTGCATAAATTATTTTCTAGAGAGCAAAAACACTCATATTTCAAAATGGTTCTCTTTTTTTATAAAGCAATGGCATTTCTGGCCAGTGTATTTCAGGACGAATGGATAAGGATTGAGCCAAGAGCTTGTGTGAGCAAATCCAATTTTTTGCAGCAAATGTCAGTTACGCGGTTTTGCAGAACGACGATACGCGGTTTTGTACTTTAAACGACGATATGTATGAATATTAATTTCTCCATTGGGTCGTGCCTTGTAATTTCTTGGAAAATTTGCAGATGATTGTGGGCTCGATGGCGCATGAAATGTTGCAGATAGTACTTAAAAAAAGGATTGACAACTTCCCAAGAAATTAAAAACGCGGCGCAGGAGCTCTTGGAATGCAACGAAACAGCCTATGAACTTTATGCGAACTTAATGACACGCGATGAATTAGCCTTGGAATTAAGAAAATTTATACCTAACATGATAACTTTCGTAGATCAGTATATTAAAGGAAATACGCCGTTAGTGGTATGAATATTAAAATTTTAAACCAATAAAATAACGTAAATAATATTCACTGAATATCTTTTTTTGATAGCAACATAAAGACAATTTTCAAGGCACTATTGAACAAATTCAAGATATCGAAGAGAATCTTTGGGTACCACAACTTGGCTTAAAAGGCAAAATAGATGTATCGGTGCGCATTAAACATCCAAGATATGAAAAAGTTTCAAATACCATACCGTTGGAATTAAAAACTGGCCGCGCCACGTTTTCCATGGAACACAAAGGCCAGGTTATGTTGTACCAAATGATGCTCTCGGCTATAGGCCGTGAGACAAACTCCAGCTTGCTGCTATATCTACGTGAATGCATAATGCGTGAATTGCGTGGAACGCGGAATGAACAGAGAGACCTTATTATGCTGCGTAATGAATTAGCACATTTTATTTCTTACCAAAATTCCATTGCTGCTGCTGATAAGACTTTTTTGATGTCCAAGGAAGGAAAATTCGTTCAGCCTATAAAATTGCCTGATCCAATTTCACATCATAGTGCATGCGGAAATTGTGAGTACGCAACGATCTGCTGCACATTCGCAAGAACTGATCCCGAACTGCTATTAAGAAATGGGCATCCATTGAAAAATGTCATGCAAACTGTAACTGAACATTTAAGAGAGGAGGATTATAAGTATTTTATGCACTGGTGCACTCTGCTTGTGTTGGAGGAACAAGAAATCAGAAAATCACACAATTTGAGAACATTATGGACAAATACGCCCGAGCAGCGTCAAAAAAAATGGTCTCGCGATCACAGATGTACAGCTGCATGAGGTGTCTTGTGAGGGATCACATTATCTACACAACTTCGATATTGAAACGACTAATAAACATGCAAATGTGGATCTCCTACTTAGCGGCGTAATTACACTAATGAATATTGAAATTTGAACACATTTTGCTAACTTCAGTTTATTTTAGTTTTCTATTGGCGAGTATGTGATCGTCAGCACTTGCAAACGGTTAGCAGTCGCAGCCGGCTGTATTGCCAACATATCAAATACTAACATCACCATAAGTCTCGAACGTGATTTACGCCAAAATTACAAACAGGAGACATTTATAATCGACAAGCATGAATCCCAATCAGGCAACTCATTCAATTTTACGAATGTGAGCTTGCTTTTGGATAATACAGATCGGGCGAACATGTTGCGCGAAATTGTGGTACATCGCATGCAACCTATTTATCACAAAGTGTTGCCACAGATCGTTGCGTCTGTGGGTGCACCTATACTCAAACAACTGAATTCAGTGCAGCGGTCTGCGGTTCTTAAAGCGTTAACAACAGAAAGTTATATGCTCATCAAAGGTCTGCCAGGAACTGGTAAGAAGCTTTTGCGTTATCTTCCCCATTTTGAATATGTACTATAAGCTTAACTTCCTCTTTTTTATCTTGCAGGCAAAACCCAAACGTTGGTGGCTATTGTGCGTTTATTGCATTTGATGGGTAAATCCGTTCTCGTCACCAGTCACACCCATTCAGCAGTAGACAATTTGTTAGTGCGATTAAAGCCATACAAGCTGCCAATGCTGCGTTTAGGTTCTGGAGCACGAATTAACGTGGAATTGCAGGAGTTCGGGGAGAGAGTTCTCCTTAAAGAGTGTCATTCTGTGGAATCAATAACACAAAAGTATAACTCGTATAACATTGTTGGCGTCACTTGCCTCGGTTCATCACATCCACTGTTTCTTCATAGAAAATACGATTTCTGTATAGTTGATGAAGCAACGCAAGTAATGCAATCAACAAACTTGCGACCATTATTTTTTTGCGATAAATTTATATTGGTCGGAGATCCCGACCAACTGCCACCCTTGATACGATCGAAGAAAGCGCGTCAACTGGGTGCCGATGAATCACTTTTCGAGCGGCTTGACACAGAAACGGCAACATCGGTGTTGACGCTACAATATCGTATGAATAAAACTATAACTCGACTGGCCAATGAACTCACCTATAACGGTACATTACAATGTGCCTCCAAGCAGGTAGAGCTTGATGCATTTCAATTAAATATGTCAAATGCAACTAAAACTGAAAAGTGGCTCCAGCGGGTCCTGCAGACCCACATCGATCAGGCTGTGTTTTTGTTAGATACAATAGACTGCACCGAACGACTGAATGAATTCGCTAATGAAAGGCATAATAACACGCTGCTTACAGTTGCTGATAGTTTGGGAGTTGGTGATGTGGAGAAAGTATGCACAGAGTCACCTGTCTCTAACGCACAAAAAACTGGAAGCAACATGCACCTATCCAAGTACAATAATTTCTGCGAAGCTGCCGTTATTATGCACATTGTGGAACAGTTACTTAAGGCCGGCTATGCGGCGGAACGAATTGGTATTATTGCCCCATACCGCGCCCAAGTGGAGTTGCTACGTAAACTGACCTTACAATACGATGTACACTACAGGGATGAGTTTCCAAATATAAATTTTGGTGCTGTGGAGGTCAACACAGTTGATCAGTATCAAGGCCGCGACAAAGATGTTATTCTGTTTTCTGGTACAAAAACTGGAGCTGTAGAAGAAAATGAACGCGCTAGTAATGCAGAAATATTAGAGGACAAGCGACGCCTTACTGTTGCCATAACTCGTGCAAAACGCAAACTGCTGCTGGTGGGTGATGCTGCTTGCTTGAATAAATATACTCCTTTCCATCTGCTACTCGGACTCATACCAAGCTACTGTAAACTAAGGTTGGAAGACGGCAAATTAGGTTTCGATTGGAAAGCACTGTTAAACCATCTAGCAAATATTATTAAGACTTAGCATTTTCACTTTATTCTTCTTCGTAACTTAATTGTGGCTTTGGTTTATTTCCATTCTTATTTTCATTAAATTATTTCAAATATATTTATGTATAAACTTATTTTAAATTTCATCGTATTCGTCCAACGCTGGAGCATGCATGGCGCAAATTGATGATTAGGTTAAGTTAAGCATATAGGTCTGCCCACGTTCTGAAAACTATGCACTTTAGGTATGCCTGTGTGTTTTCTACTTACATACGTCATCGTTTCCATTACCACATAAGGCATCCACGATGCCATGATAAAAACATTACAAGGTAAATTCATTCTCTCATTTCGTCGGCCATGATTTTTTTCTGACGTTTTCCAACATTTTAAAATCATATAAAATTGAAAATAAAAAAATTAAATTGTTCACAATTGTTGTTGTTTGAGATTGAAAATGAGAATGTGTGTGTGAGTTTGAGTTTTGATTTTAAAATTATATTGTTGGCAAACGTCAGACTGCCTCTCAATGGTTTTACCTTGTTATGTTTTTATCATGCACGATGCAGCCCATTCTTTTGAATACCAAAGCACTTTTCCTTGCTAAAATTATGCATGTATTTATTTTCTTTATTGATGCCAAATAATTTTTTTGATAAGTACATTTGGAGGCATTCACTAAAGCATCTAGCAAAGAAAAAATAATATAATCTATATATTAATACGCTAACGAAATCCCATACAAATCTATTCCTCCGTACTGCTCCTATGTTTCTCAACCAATTTGAATGATTCTTCTTTTGTTCGAAAGGTTTTTCAAAGGGGAGGTGTTTTTTTCAGTAGGTGGAGTAGGAGTGGAGTTATTCCGAAAAACTTCATTTATGGTCCGATTTGCTTCAAATTCAAAATACATATCATTAACATCAAGTGCCGAGTTATTCCAATTTCCGTATAAGCCTATGAATGCCTGCTTTGGTTTCACCATCTACTATCTATTATTAATTATTAATACGCTAACATGAATTTTGTCTCCGTTAGTTTGGTGATTCTACCGAACCGATTTCCAAACCAGAACACCATTGGAAAGGCATTTTTTCTGTAGATGAGCAGAGTTTTTATGGTTTCAAAATTGGTTGGAAATTGCGGCCTAAACCGTCGTTTAAACATTTCCGTATTTGTGTATAGATGTTGCTGCAACATGTTCAATTTGACGTGTTTCGCATGTTGTTTCACTTCGCATATGAAATTAGCTTTGAAATAAAGATAAATATGAAGATGAAGAAATAAATGATAACGATGAAGTCAAAAAAAAGAATGCAAAAGTAAAGGTACTGGCCCAATGCAGGGATCGAATCGTAACATCCGTTCACGGATCGAAAACGATACGAAAGAAAATTACGTGGTACGTCAGGCAGTATAAACTAAATGGGACAAAGAGTACGTTAACGTATGTCATAATCCGAAAAATGTGTTTTTACGTGACGAGTAGTACGATATCGTATGTGACGATTCGAGCCCAGGCTTGCATTGCTTGCTTCGCTTTGAGAACTGTCAAAAGTCTTTTGGAATATACTAAAACGTATGAGGGGTGGCCAAATGGGAGTTTTGCTTCACTTACTTTAAGCGCCTCAAATTTTCAAATAGGCAAATGTTTTATTTTAAAGAGTTTTGTAGGCTTTTGACAAAAAAGGTATGTTCCCGTTCTAAATAAACTCAAACAAACTGCTGCAGACTTTTATGTAGAAATTATACTAAATTAAAAAAGAATATATGTATAATGTATGCAATCCAAAGTTTAATAAAAATGATTCTATGTTTCCATATCTATATTTAACATGTCGTTGGCTTAAAGTGAAAAATTGCTAAGTCCGTTTTACAAATTTCACAAGAACTTTGAATACAACATTTGCATGTTTAAGGCAAAGCAAAACTCCATACGAATCAGAAGGATTCGATCTTTGTTAAAAGATTTCGTATTATTTTGGCCTTATCGGATATTCGAGGTCTCTTTGGACTTAGAAAATTTGTCTTTTATTGAATATAAACGAGAAAAAATAATACAAGTACTTTAATCTAGAGATGGGCACGTGAGTAATTTTGGCTCACGTTCACGCACGCTCACGTTGATGGTTTTTTAAATCACGCACACTCACGTTCTGCTATATTTTTTTCAATCACGTTCACGCACGCTCACGACGCCTATTTTTTCAATCACGCACGCTCACGCACGGTTTCTCATGGACATTTTTTTGAAATTTAAACTTTATTTATATAAATAGTATTTCATATAAATAGCCTTTTATCACACAAGTATTATTACAAAAGCTTGGCCAAACGCCTAGCAAGGGCTGAAGGCACTATTATTATTTTAACAAATTTCAGATATACATACTTATGTATCTATTACAAGTATAAACAAGTAAGAAAGTCTAAGTTCGGGCGGAGCCGAACATTAAATACCCGGCGCAAGTATTAAAGATATGTTTTCCACCTTGCCGAAAGCTACCGCTACATGATAAGCCGGGGTGTATACATTTTAAGTAAATTAGCGTCCCTAAATTTCGACATATTGAAATTTCAAGCATTTCTGAAATTTATTGTTATATGAAAAGCGGCCGTAATTTAAGACCGATTTCAACAATTTTCAACGGTTTGCTTTTATGTGGCAAGCACAATAATCATACCGAGTTTGGTACAAACTGCTAGAACGGTTAGCGAGATACATATATGTAATCACAAGTGGGCGGTGCCACGCCCATTTTACAAAATTTTATCATAAGCGTATTTCTTGGTAAAGAATTGTTGCAACCATCAATTTTGAATAAATTAGCTTTGATATTTACTGATTTATCGAAGATTTTGTATTTCTCGAAATTACCGTTATATGGAATGTGGGCGTGGTTATTGTCCGATTTTAAAAAGTTTCGGCCATTTGGTATGCTGTACCAGGACCAACAACTGTGCCAAGTTTGGAAGAAATTTGTGCAGCGGTTACCAAGATATACTCATGTAACCATAAGTGGGCGTGGCTACGCCCATTTGCCAAAATTTTAAAATATTCTTATTTTTCGTCTAAAACTCATTGTAAATATCAATTTTGAGTGAATTATCTTCAGTAGTTACTAAAATATCGCAGTTTTCGTATTTCAGAAAATTACCGTTATATGGGAGGTAGGCGTGGTTATTGTCCGATTTTTTAAATTTTCGGCCATTTAGTATGATGTATCAAGGCCAACAACTGTGCCGAGTTTGGAAGAAATTGGTGCAGCGGTTACCAAGATATACACATGTAACCATAAGTGGCCGTGGCTACGCCCATTTGCCAACATTTTAAAATATTCTTATTTTTCGTCTAAAACTCATTGTAAATATCAATTTTGAGTGAATAATCTTCAGTAGTTACTAAAATATCGCAGTTTTCGTATTTCTGAAAATTACCGTTATATGGGAGGTAGGCGTGGTTATTGTCCGATTTCGCCCATTTTCAATACCATCCGTCCTACGCCCAAAAGAAGTTCACGTACCAAGTTTCGTTAAGATATCTCAATTTTTACTCGAGTTATCGTGTGCACAGACGGACAGACGGACGGACGGACGGACGGACGGACGGACAGACAGTCACCGCTTAATCGATTTATTTTTTCATTCTGATCATTTATGTATACATTTGTCTATATCTATCTCGATTCGTTTTGCCTGTTACAAACAACCGTTATGTGAACAAAGTTATAATACCCTTGTGCACAAGTGCGCTCGGGTATAAAAAGAATTGGTATCAATATTTATCAGACAACAGCATGAGTTTACTCCCTTAAATCTAAACAGTATGAATTCATTGCTGTGAACTCTATAAGGTTAGTGAGAAACACCGTACAAACAGTGAGATTCATAGTTAGTTTTGAAATCAATGTTTAGCTGCAGTGTACTCATTTGATTTCAAATATGGCATTGAATACTCTTTCCAAATCAAGCGAGTGAAAAATGCTGTTATGAAAAGCAAGTCGAGCAATCGAATGACACCCATTGACTTCAAACAATTAGTAGAGAATACGACAATTTTGAAAAAAATGGATATTGATGAAGTATTTTTTTAAATATATTAGTTTTACTAAATTATTTAGTTATGCACCTGATGAACATTTATATAACTAGTCTACAAAAGAAATGCAATGTTACCTCAGAAGACATCGGCTTTATAAGGGACTTGAAAAATAAGTTGCTTTATTATTTAAAAACAGTTGCTGTTGAAAACTAACAGATTTGCACAAAATTGTACTTTTTTATACCCGCCAGCAAAAGAGCTCAAGAACTTTACCGAATCTGAGCAAAGGTACACAATAGAGAAATGTTTACAAATTATGAGAACGTTAACTGAGAATTCTGACAGTACAAGGGAACCACAAATTGCGGATACACCTTTGTTACCTTCAAACAACTTTGAGCTGTTTTCAGGTCAGGTTAAGCAACCTACCTTTGTGAGCAGAACTGATAAAGCTACTGCAGAGCTGCGGCGATATGAAAATATTGAGGTATATTTTCATACGGACTTCGATATAATTAATTGGTGGTAGGTACACAAAAGCGAAATGCCTCTGCTGCATAAACTCAGTCGTAGAGTAATAGCCACTCCTTCAACTAGCGCATCGTCAGAAAGAGTTTTTTCTTCTGCTGGAAATGTTATTTCTGACAAAAGATGACACCTTTTGTCAAATGATGATGCCCTTAATCAGTTGATATTTTTGCATTATAATATGCAGTTAGGAAACCAATAAAATTAACAAAAATTGTCTTTACAAATCTTTTTTTTTGATACTTTCATTACAGCAGTTATGCCATGCACTTGTTTTTCAATCGAGCACTTGTTATTTGAATCGGACACTTGATAGTAGTTGCGTTCGATAACAAAATTAGCCAACACCAGCCAACAATCAAAATCAAGAGAGTAAGCGAAAATTCTCTCACAAAGAGATGAAAAAGCAAAAAAGTAAACGAACAGGAAATTAGCCATTAGGTTTGTTCGTCGAAAATCCAGCAAGAATTATCCAACACTCAAAATATCAGAGGGTAAGAAAAAATTCTCTCAAATTCTCTCTCATGTTGAGAAACTTGCAAATTTCTGCACGAACGCAAATTTGCAGGAA